TTTGTAACTAAATTCGTTTTTTTTTACACCTAATTGAAAGTGTTAGTATGCCTTTTCTTCCATTGTATATGAGTTTATTTTTTTGTGTATGCTCCCGATTTATACATTTGGATATTTCTTTTACGCAATTTCTTAAAAACATCAGGTTGATAAATCTAATAGAAAAATAAAAAACTAGCGATCCAGGCCCATAAAATACGGGTCTAGATAAGTCTATTTAACAATGACTATTCCTTTACTTATCAACTTCATTATTTTTTACATAAAAGTATCTTTAACATAGGTGACAGTTGTGTAACATTTCTCCCGGCGTTTGTGTAAACTTAAGGCCATAATAAAATATAACATTCTCATTGAGATAATATTTATTTAAAAAGCAAAAGAGAACACAGAAACGGGTCACGAAACCTAGTTATGTCAAATAATTATATTTTCTCTATCTACTTGATAATTCTCTAACGAACTATTCAGACACACACTCTTAACAAAATTTTTCAATAAAGCTGTTTTCAATACCGGCTTTGGCAAAATTTTAATTATTAGCTGTTATTTGTGACGAAAATTGGCACTAAAACGGTAAGTAATGAAAGCCATCTAGATCGTAATCACCAAGGTGATAAAACCGTAAATGGTTTCGATACATATATAAAAAAACAACGGATATATAAAACTAAGCAAAAATGGCAAATACAATACCCATGCAAAACAATTTTAAACAGGAAAAATATACCATTTTACATAGATGAATATTTGACTTATGAAAATATGAAAATCCCGGAAACTTTTTTTCTATGATAATCCCGGAAAATTATTTTACTGAAAGTCGATCGACAAACGGAATTTAGATTATTTAACTTTTTACAAAAAGGAATTTCTAATATTCGAAAAAGTTTGAATGAATTAAAAAGCAAAAAAAAGAAAAAAATTGTTACGAAATTTTTTTTTTTTTTTTTTTTTTTTTTTTTTTTTTTTTTTGTCTTTTATCAAAGCTTTACAAATACGTGATCATAAATATAAACTAGTTCGTTTACATTGTATAAAAAAAATACCGTACATATAATAAGAAAACTTTTTTTAATACAAATAATAATATATATAAAAAAGTAACACTGTTAAAAGACGCGGGAAACTTGCAGAAGACCATTTTGGTCTTGTCATCAAGAAACCGCTTTTAGTTGCGATATTTTGTATACTTAATTTATTAAGAAATTTCAGTTTGTCAGAGTCTCATGGTGGCATAAGAGTCACACATAAAAAGCTACTAGATAATCAAAAACAAAAAACGGAAAAGAGCTGTATTTGATACACATAAATATATAGTTACATGGTTTGTTATACTTAGTATATTGACATGTACGAAATATAAATAAAATCTAACATTTACTTTGCTTTAAAGTGGATTTTTTAGGGGTTTTTAGTTATTTGTTTTAATATACGTTTGTAAAATTGTTTAAGTTTAGAACAAGTTTTTTTAAAAGTGTTTTCAGAGAATTATGGTTAAGTAGTTTTGTAATTATAGTATTTTTAGCTATTAGTTTGTTGTAGAGGTAAGGGCCGCGATACGAGATGGAGAAACGTGATAGTTTTGTTTTTTTATATGGTACTTTAAAATTTCCTATTCCTCGAGTTTCATATTTATTTCTATTGCATTTAAAAAATTCTTCTGAAAAATGTAATGGGACAAGTCCGAGTTATATTTGAGCATGAATATCAAATTTTGGTAAATGTTAATTTTGTAGACATTTAGTGCATTTAGAAGCTTTAGCAAAGGTTCGGCATGAGTAAATTTATCTTTATTAAATACTATTCTTGCAGCATGTTTTTGATGTCGATAAAGTGCCACTAGGTTGGATCTATGGGTACTTGCCCATGCTATATTACCATACGTATAATAGGTTTGAATGAAGGAGAAATAAAGTAGCTTTAAATTTTTTTGGGGTAGCATCGGTCTAGCTTTGTAAAGCATGCAAATGTTGTTTCTTATTTTGGTATTTAATAAGTTTATGTGAGCTTTCCATGAAATATTCTCATCGATAAGTATTCCTAAAAATTTTGTTGCTTTGGTTCTTTCGATAAATTTATTTTCTATTTTTAGAGACGGTAATGGAATTGGTATAGATTTTTTCCTTTGATTGGTGTGAAATAGAATGTAGTTGGTTTTTTCTGTACTCAATGATAATTTGTTAGATTTAAACCAAGTATTAAGTTTTTCAAGTTCAATACCTGCAGTTTCGAAGAGTTCTGCGATAGAAGTAGATGAATAAAATAAGTTTGTATCATCTGCAAACATTATGGCATCAAGTTTTTTTGAGACTTTTGGAAGATCATTGATGTATAGCAAGAAGAGTAGGGGAGCTAGAATGGAACCTTGGGGAACTCCGCATTTTATTTTAAGTAATTTTGAATGGGTATTTTTATCCATAATATCACATTGCTGTCTGTTTATAAGAAAGCTCTCAAACCAATGTAAAGCAACATTTTTAATGCCATATTTTTCCATTTTTTTAAGTAGTATAGCATGATCAACAGTATCGAATGCTTTCGATAGATCAATAAAGATTCCTAGAACAAATTTGTTATTATCAAAAGAGTCATTTATTTTATTTACAAGATCTATAATCGCATGTTCGGTTGAATGTTGTTTTTGAAATCCGAATTGTTTTTTATTCAAAATATTGTTAATAGTTAGGTATTTATATAGTTTATTGTAAACTATTCGTTCTAGAAGTTTAGAAAAGACAGAAAGGATTGAGATGGGTCTGTAGTTATTAAGTGAGCATTGCTCTCCGGATTTAAATATTGGTACAACTTTTGAAATTTTTAATTTGTCTGGAACAGTTCCTGTTGTAATTGAAGATTTAAAAATTTCGAATATGGGTTTGCGTATCACCGGGAAGACACTTATTACTACGTTGCTAGAAATCTCATCAATCCCTGGTGCTTTGTTAATTTTTAGAGAATTTTTTGCAGCTTCGAGTTCATCATAGTCTAGTCCATTGAATTTTAGTTCGCTTTGTTGATTTGTAAGATAGGATTCAAAATAGGTATTTGGGCATTGAATTTTGGACGCCATGTTAGGGCCGATGTTTGCAAAGAAACTGTTGAAATGTTCGGCTATAGAACTTTTATCGTTGTATTCTTTTTCATCCACAACAATTCTATCAGGTAAGGTATTTGTTTTGGTATTTTTTTTCCCGATTATTTCTTTCATGATGTTCCATGATTTTTTAATATCGCCATTGGTATTTTGAAGTAGTTTTGAGTAGTATATTTTTTTAGAGTTTTTCCTTATTTTTTCAAAGAGATTTTTGTATTGCTTGTAGATAGATAAGTTGACTTCATTTCTGTTTTTTAAATATTTTATGTAGAGTTTTTGTTTTGTTTTAGAGGATTTTTTAATTCCACTAGTAATCCATGGACAGTTCAAATATTTTTCTTTAACTATTTTTTCTTCGATCGGGAAATAACTATTATAATGATTAAAAAAAATATCGATAAATGTATTATATGCGGAGTTTGTGTCCTCAAGGTTGCATTTTTTATATACTTCATCCCAATTCACTATTGATAGTGTGTCTTTAAATTTTTGAATAGAAATTTTATTAGTTTTTCTTATATAAATTTTGGTTTTAGAATTGTTGTTTATTCTTGTATCTTGATTTATAGAAAAGTAAATTGGGAAGTGATCCGAAATATCGGTTTTAACTATACCTGTTTTTAAAGAGGAATCTTGAAATGCATTTGTCAAGATGTTATCTATTGCGGAAATTGAATTCGGGGTTATTCGCGTAGGTTTGTTGATAATCGGAAAGATACAAGGTTGAAACATGTTGTCAAAAAAAAGTTTGGTGGTCGTATTCTTTTTGTATTTTAAACAATCTATATTTAAATCACCTATGCAGAATAGTTTTTTTTGTTCTCTATTAATTTTAAAAAAGATATCTTCCAAGTAGCTTGAAAATTTTTTTATATCTCCTTCAAAATTGATCTTGTGAAAATTTTAGTTATAGAAAACGTTTTTGTTTAAATGCAAAAGTTGTTGTTATAAAATTTTATGTAAAATTATATTAATTTTTTTTAAATTAATAACAAAAAACATCCGGAAAGTTCTGGAAAAATTAAAGGTGTTTAAAGTGAAATTCCGGAATACTGGGAATTTCCGGAAAAAAACTCATCTTTCGTAAAATTTATACAAAAGAAACAAAAACATTTTTCTTGAGATAAAAATAATAATACACTTTTGTCAAAAAAAATAAATAACAAAAAACTTTTATATTTCATATAAAGTTGTCAGGACTCGTATCCCAGTGGGCACAAGAACGTATAGTAAACGTTTAATGGTGGCTTAAGCGACAATTGCTGTAAACTGCGCACTGCAGATGTGCAACTTTACTTAAAAATGGACTTTTTTCATTTTTCCACGAATTCCCAGCAAACTCGTCATGCTTAGCCCACCATCGGCGTCATTACTAGCCCAACATTGGCCGACAAGCATGGTTCAATCCAAGTATTGCTTACCGTTAAAGGCATGGTCCATGCATGGCAGCCATTTTTCGAACGACGTTTAGCCGATGCTTTGCAATTGCCTTTTTTAATGCAACTTTTGGTTCATTTTGTTTGTTTTTAACAATTATTTTTTATAATTTTTATATTTTATAAATAACCAATACGATTATAATAACCATATAAATATTATAATATATAACCATATAATAACTATATAAATATATACCATATGATAACCATATAAATATAAAAACCATATAAATACCATTATAATAACTATATAAATAACCACTACCATTTTATAAATAACCAACACTTTAACAAACGCGAGATTTTTAACTCAGAGACTTTTGGGAGACAAATGCAAGATTTTAACTTAAAATTTTTAAAGTAAAACAAGTCAGGGAAGCGGGGTGATGTTTGCCTACCTAAAAATGTTGCATGGGTGATATAAAATGCAATGTGGGATATTTTAAACTATTAATACAAAGTCATTTTAGCGACACGTTTTATATGACCAAATATTTTCATTTCAGTAAAATTGCCTTGCAATACAATACGTATAAAAGTTAGCGAACTGTTAAACTTCTGCCATCATTTTAATTTGATGTTTGCATGAACGAACGTTTAGTACTTTTCGATAAGCTGATAGATTTAATAATTGCAACCAAGTCACCCAAAAATATTCAGAAGTGAAGAAACCCTAAAATAAGTATAAAATTGTATCCAAAATAGCTAAAAGTAAAGTAATTGTAAAATAAACTATAAAAGTTATTATTAAAATTAAAAAAGATAGTAATAGATTTATCTCTTCTACATTAATTAAGTAATACATATTTTTACATATTAAAAGTAATACAAAAAGAAAAAAAAAAGAAAAAGAAAAAAGAAATATATATATAAAAAAAACAAAACAAAAAAAACAACGAAAAACTTATCAAGTGTATATATATACACATTTTTGTTGTTGTTTTCTTATATTTTATACATTTCTATATCAATGAAATTTCTTGGGCTACCATATAAAAGATAAAAGAAATATCTTCCGTTGTTTATCCAATATTTCACAACTTATTGACTCCATGATAACATTAGATAATCGTGTTGTTTCAAAAAATACCCTCAATGAACTACTACATATAAAAATTGTAAAAACATATTCCAATTGAATTAAAACTATAAACGCATTGCCATCCACACAAATCGAACTATAAATATTCTGAATTTCAATAAAAGATTTCAATACATTAAACACGTTTAACTTGCAAAGGAATAAAGCAAAAATATAAAGGAAGATCATTTATACTATTTTATGTTTTCATGTGATAACGCCTGATACTACTCGACCTCCGATATTACTGCAATCTTTTAAATCATCCTGAAGATGTGTCAGGTGAATTAAAAATCATTTAAACAATTTTGCACCTAATTTCTAATAATAAAGATATTAAAGCACTAAACTTCATTAAAAAGTAGCAATATATATATATATATATATATATATATATATATATATATATATATATATATATATATATATATATATATATATATATATATATATATACATATATATATATATATATATATATATATATATATATATATATATTATCTTATTTATTTATTTACTTATTTATTGATTAAAAAACTCACTAACAATATTGTGTTATCATCATTTTACTTTTTTACATAATCAGTTTTTTTTTTGCGTTAAGCTAAAATCATTGTTCAATTTAATTCTAACAATTAATTCAATCACATCGCTTTTTATGTATGTAAAAATATTTAAAAAAAAATGAACAAATGATAATAATGATGAACAATTATAATTCTACACTTATTGGCATAAATAAAAGGCAATGTTTAATCATGATTAAAATCAAGTCACACAAAATGAATGTCAGATCAATTTCGTAATATAAAATTGTAACTAAAATTAAAAAAAAATATGTAAAGTAAACAAATGAATTAAAATATAAAATAAACTGTAAAAATGAGTATAAACTACAAAATTCAATACTCTGTAATACTCTGTAATACAATGCTCTGTAATACTCTGTAATCCAATACTCTGTAATACAATAAAAACATTGTAACAATAAAAACATTATATTTCAAGAAAAATATACAAAAAATCAAAGAAAAGTTTAAAAAAAAAAGCTAAAAAACCATCAAAAGTTAGCTTACGCTTTTAAGGCACGTTTTGCACGACCACCATTTCTGCCAGGAGATTGCATTAGCCATCGTTTTATGGACCTCTTGACATTTGTATTAATTGCTCCTTTTTCATGTTTTGAACTGCAACTGTTAAATTTAAAACAAGATATTTAGATGTGATCCACATAATTACCACAAAACAATTGTCTATTAATTTACTGTTGATTATGCCAGAAATTTGTTTTAACTACAATGGAGTGCTGCTACATTGACTATCTTATAGCCTGCTGCTATAACGTGGTTAGAAAATTTTGACTTTTTAGCCGAATATTTCAAAATCGCCCTCTTGAGGGTTGATTCTATATATATTTCGGACTCTAAAACAATAAATTTTAAAATTCTGGATTAAAATCCAAGGGAGATAATTAGCTTCGAAATTACCGAATTTTCTCACTTAGCCTAAATTAGCTCAAATAATTTTAATATATATTTTATTATATTGCTATAAAAAAAATAAATAGATAACAATAAAAAATACACAATAAATATATAAATTATTATTCACAACTTTTCTAAATTTAATCATCAAAAATATCTTCGTTGAACTCTTTTGTGCTTCTTAGAATTTTTTGCTATTGTAATCAACAACACAATTCAACAGCTGTTTAAAATTATCTGGATGAGACATAATCCTTTTAAATCTTTGCCAATGAGGCTTAAAGTTTGAATGCCTCTGTTGCTTGCTCACTTTAAATTCCAAGACAAAGTTTTATGGTGCTTTTGAAATTGTAGAACATGGTAAAAGATAGCTTGTACTATTGGTGTGACAGTCAACTTTAGATAATTGTTCTTAAACTCTTAAATCTTTTTCTCAATTTCTGGAGAGAGTGAGCATCCAAAACAAGAAGTAACAACTTGGAGAAACAAATTTAGAACATGGCAGATGGATAATGCTTCAAATACCTTATCAGCAACAGTTATCTGCCTCAGAGTTTTTTAGCAACTTCATGCAATCATTGCAGTGAAGTGACCACCACGGTACAGCTGTAATGGTATATGTATTGTAGTCAACCTTTCTTTTGTTTTTGGCAAATCCAGAGCCAAATGCTTAATAAGATGGCTAACAACGCCAAGAAGCGAATGAAGATCCATTGGAGGAATAACTTCTAAAATAAGCTTTTCATCTAGAAATCAAAGTATTGGTGGATGAACAGCATTCTCAAATTCTTTTGATTTCTTTAGATAGGCACGAGATAAAATAAACTTTTGATGTCGCTCCCTGATTGCTCCTAATATTCTGAGTTGGCCACAGTTGTTCAAATTTGTCAACTTAATGTTGCACCAGCAGCAAGGATGCTTGCTACTGTGAGAATAAATTCCACAGATAATATTTGCAAGCTTCATGTCACATGACAGAATCAATTTGTCAATTAATTCATTAACTTACATTAGGTCCAAAATCAGTTTAATATTGTCAAATGTTTCAGGGGTGTTTTCAGAGATTGCTAGAATTAGTTAGTTTTTTACACCTGTGCTTTTAAAATTTTCACTTAAAGCCAACTTAATTGACTTTTTTACTGGACTCAAACTAGCTTTGAAAAAGGACCCTTTACCATCAAGGCCCAGTTTCACAGTGTCCAAACATCAAATCTTTTGAAACTGTGATGTTTTCCTTCATGGTTTTAAAATCGATAAAATGAACAATGTCATCAACCTCATTTGAATCTGGCAATTTTACATTGGTAGCAATGAAAAAATCTTTTTAACTAGATCCTGCTGATGCAAATTTCTGTTGAAAGTTTGGCTCAAGAAGGCAAACTGGACTAATTTGGTTTAGAAAAGATCCAAGCTTTTTGATTTTATTGTTTGAAAGCACTCTGTTGAATATCAACCATATTTTTTGTTGTCAAAGGGCATTGAAAGAGTGAATGAGCTGCAGATGTTCCTTAAAAAAGAAAACTAAATCAGTTACTTCACATATAAATGGTATTGCTCAGAATGTACAGAACAATAAAATAAATAACCTTTTTTTATCGGAAGAGGTTTGCCATGAGCTTGACCAAGACAAACTATTCTGCCCAGAGATGCTTCTTTTGGTGCAATGACAGATAAAGCAACTTGCCCACAGTATCTTCCAATGCTAATTGATATAAGTTTGCACAGCAAGTTGTATCACTGCAATTGTGAGAAATTCCACAAGCAATTATAAACAAGCAATTTGTGCATCATTTTTTAACTGACTTTTTTTTCTTCTTGCAAAGAATTTGATGCAAGACCCTTTTAAATGGATGCTTTTCTATGACTTTCACCTTTGCAATTTGACATAGTATGCAATCAGAACATGTTGTAAGTCTTGCTAATGGCTTCACAACAATGGAATCAAAACTATAGAGTTGTATTGCCTTTAAGGCATTAGCTCCATCACCCAATTTTTTCAGATTGCAATGGCATATCTAATGAAATCAAGCAATGAATCTCAGAAATGAAATGTTTGGAAATTTCTATTATCTATGCATTATTCTTTTTATTTAGTTTGTAAGTGCAATATTTTTTAGCATGATATAAAGAAAGTCATGTTGAAACTTGTATCTTTTATTTACGTTTATATATTAAATATATTAAAATTAATTACTGTTAATCTGTTTATAGTTTCTCATATCTTGACTATCATAAGTTTAGTGCTACATCATTTTATTTCATTTATGTGCAAATTCTTTGTGCTGAATTTGTCTCCAAGGAAGTAGTTTTGCAATTAATTATGATTATCTGAAGAGAGCATGATAAATATTGGTACGGAGGGAATTGCTTGTGTAACAAATACTAATGATTATCTAAAGTAAACATTCTAAATGACTGTCCAATGGGAATTGGTGGTGTAGCAATCGTTAGAGTATGGTAAAAAAACAATCTATTTTTAACAAATATTTGTAAAGCATCAGAAAAAATAAAAAAATGCAAAGCTAAATATCTCCCTTGGATTTTAATCCATGATTTGAAAATGTATTGTTTTGGAGTTCTCAATATATATAGAATCAACCCTCAAAAGTGCAATTTTGGGATATTTAGTCTGCAAAAAAGTCAAAAATTTCAAACCCTGACAAGGAAGTGCCACAACATTGACTGAGGGTTTGGTTAGGGCAGGCAGTCTGTTAAATAATAAAAAAAATATAAAAATTTTTCACCACTTTTATAATAAAAATAAAATAAAGTATAAATGATTTGGCACCTCAAAAAACATTGACTTACTTTTAAAATAAAATTAAATATATGTGCCACTACAATTCATTTTGCTTTAAAAGATTTCTTATCATTCGTTAATGAATTCCAACAAAATTATAACAAATAGAAATCATAAAAAATAATAACGAAACTGACATTTGTTAAAAAAATGAAGATTTTTATTTTAAGTTTTTGTTTTTGAATTCTTAACTAACTTTTTAACTATTTAAGATTTTCTTTTAAAAATCATTATAAAAATAACGCATGCGCAAACTGATCGTGAACATGCCGATCATAAAATGAACATGGCCAATAGGGGTGAAAATGTTTGTTTTTTTTAAATGACGGCCCTAACTATCGTTGGAGTAATTACCAAAAACTTACAAAAACATAAAAATAATCTATATAAATGCAAAAAACCCTCTGCACAAATCCATTTTAAAGTATCTTCAAACAAAAGTTTGAAAATTTGCTTAAATAACTCATATTGTTTATTAAACAATATATAATAGTTAAACAATATTTAACTATTATATATTGTATATTTTAGATATAAACTGTACTTTAGATGTATAAGATATCAGAAAATAATTTAATAGGACAAAGAGAATCCCCTTCCAATATTTTAAAGCCAAGAAATCATATATATGGAAATTTGATTGAGAAGTCAATGATGGATTTTTCAAAATTATGTAAGACATGGCAGATATTAGAAAGATATCATTTCCTTTTAGAATTAGGTAACATTCCAAGATCAAGTGATGTTATTAAAGAAATCTCAATTTAAGTTTTTCAATTATGGAATAAAATGATAATACCATGTTTATGGAAAAATCTGTGCAAAGAAAAGTAAAGTCTGCAATTCAAAATTATAAATTTGTTATAAAATTTTCACAAAGTACAAACAAAAAGACAATTATTATAAATAGCTTAGATAAACTCTTTGACTTATTGCCTAAAAATGCTAAATTTAAAAATCTGGAAGACAAACTCTTTTATGAACTTCAGAAATCTTCCAATGGGTGTAAAGGTCAGTGCAGTATTGTGACAGAGCCTATTGAAACACATTTGCAAGACCTGCCACATAAAAGAACTGAAACAAATTATAGTCAATTGTTTGATGATACAGAGAATTCTAGTAGTGAAAGTTCAGAAGATAATAGTACAAGCTATGATTATGCAATCCAATTGAAACGTTCAAAGATCACAGGTGAAATGATAGCTAAGATATCTGAAAATGAAGGATATCCAGTAAGTTGTACGGCAAAGATTCAGGGTGTAAACTAGCCCTGTGGCACCCCGTCAAACGCGGTTTTCCCAAATGCTAATAAAATTAAAATCCCATTCTCCAAATAAAGTTTTTAAAATTAAAGTTTAATATTAATTCTAAAAATAATTTAAAATTAATTATTATTTAAAACTAATAGAAAAATAACATAAAAAAATTCTAATTCATTAATTGCGTAAAACATGAAATCAAATCGCCATTATTGGTATAAAAACGCAATTGCATAACTGCGAAAATTGATTTCTTGGAAAAAACATCATGAGAATTGGAATTTTTGGAGCGATTTTTGTGGCAACTTGCAACAAAATTTGAAAATAGTTTTTTGCAATACATTCTAACAACAGTAAATATTATATAAAAAAGTTACCAAGAAATAAAGTACTAATCTAAAAGATCTAAAATAATAACAAACTTGTTTGGTTTAACACCCGCAAATCCTATTTCTTTAAAAGTTTTGCCTTTTTTGGCTAGAAAGTTTAATAACTTATTAAGTCTTACCGTAAACTTAACTTTAACTAGTTCATATAATTCGTCAACAAAAACATCGAGAAGGTTATGTCAGATACCTTTTGATCAATTACGGGTATTACGAAAAATCTTTTAGTTATTGTTTTTCTTTTTTTTGTTTGGTATTTTATATCAACCGAATTTGCTAAAGTTTTTTACTTTTTTACTGTATTCTTTGATGCCACGTGTGCAATTGCTTGCTAATAATATTACTCTACAATTAAACAACATTTGTTGTTGTATTTGCTGAGACTTTGTGATTATAACTTTATTTCGCTATGTAATTTATGAATAAAAAAATGTGAAATATGAAATTTATGAGCTCGTGTTTACTATTTTTAAAACCTTATCTATTTTCAAAAAATTTCTTTTGATGACTCAATTTATAACATAATGATGTAAGGATTCGTTCGTAAGGTACATCGAGCAGAATTTAAATAATAAATAGAAGTAGAAGATCATTGGCTCATTGGAGCTATTTTACTATATTACATTGAAAAGAAATATACATTTAAAATAATACTCTTGAAATGAAAACAATATATAAAGATTAAAAATAAATCAAAATAATTATTCTCAATAATAATTAAAAGACACTGATTAGTTTATAATAAAAAAAAGACATCAATTTGCAGATCGGCAGTCCAAAAAGCATTTACAACACTTGTGCATAAATAAGCTTGATTTGGTCTTATATAGACTCTTCTAAAGAAATGTGGTGCTTACATTTTGATGGTAACAAACAACATTATTATAGCACTTGCATTTAGAGCAAGTCTAAATCTTTGGTAATATCTTTGAAAAAATTAGAGAAAGGCAACTCTGTTTCTATTTATAACATGTTACACAATATTATTTTTGGGTTTAATTTATTAAATTAAATTTCCGTTGTAATATGTGACACCACTGCAGTAAATACAGCTTCGAAAAATGGAGTAATTAAACGTTTGACAAAAATTATTCTAGGTTTAGTGTACCATCTTTGTCGACTTAATGTTTTCAACCTGATTCTTAGGCATTTTATGAACTCAAAGTTTTATTCCTTATCAAAATCGCCATAATAATAATATGTGTGTCTTTGCTTATTATTACTTATATTATATTAAACATTGGTGTCACTCCTTTGATCAGATTTCTGCATGAGTGCAGAATCCATCCTAATAAATCATTAACTTATTATTATATTAATATTAGTTATTATCATCATTTTTTTATTGTAATTATTGTAGACATACTTATTATTACTATTACTACAATTTGTATCATTATATTTTTATCTTATGTTATTATTATATATTTTTGCTATTATTACTATTATTATTATTATCATTATTATCAAAACTATTGTAAAATGATTTACGGAAAATAAATAGCTTGTTGCTGTTGTTGTTGTTGTACAAACCAATTGAGCATACATTTTTAAATACATTTGATATTTTTGAACCAATATTATATTTGACTTCAAATTTTAATTAGTGATCCAATTTTTATTTAATCTGTCAAGGTTATCCAGAATTGTCAATTTTACAGACTGAATGGTTTTTAGGTAATTAATAATGTTTTAGAAAAAAAAATTTAGGTTTGCACTATAATTACACCATGCAAATATGGATAAAGAAATCATGGAATCCAAATAATACATCATTTTGAAATTATTGCCTAATTTACAGACCGGTAAGTGAAAAGGCTGCATAAACCAATGCAACCCTTTGCCAATTTCCCCATTAACTCTGCATAATTAATGGGCAAATTGACTTTGAATATTTTTGATATTTTCGAACCATTATTACATTTGATTTAACAGATAGACAGAAGATTCTTTAATAAAGTTAAAATTAAATTTTAAATAAAAATAACTTACAGTAAATGAACTTCCTGAAATTTTGAGTACTTACAGCAATAGTAAGTATAACAGCAGAAACACTACCTAAAAATGTAATAAAATTATTATTAAAAACACAAATACATGTGTTAAAAATATTTTGTTTCAAAAATTATAAACTAAAATAAATTATAAATTAACTAATTCAAACTAAATAAATATAAAATAAAAAACTTACTATTTGTTAATATTATTTTATATCTGGACTTTTAGTGGATGATTAAAAGTAAAGAGTTTCAGTATTGAAACAACCTAATAATCATTTTTAACAATAGACACCAGCGAGGAGGTAAGCCAAGTTGTCTATAAACACAAAACATCACAACAGTAACATCACAATCACAAAACATACAGACCTGTGGCACTAAATGCTGCTAATTCACACTAGTGTCACCACTTTGCTAACAATGTTAACTTCTATCCTCAACCCTCTACTGTTTCCAAACAACAATAATAATCATCCCAAATATCTCACAGGTGTTTGATGATGATATAAAAAACATACGGATTTCAATCATCTTGTTTACATCATCTTGGATTATCTTTTCATACTGTCCTCTCATGGACACCTTATAAACAAATCATTGCAAAGTTAATATTTTTGATAAAATATTATAGTATTATATTGTTCCTAAGTGCTCCAAAAATTTCTATTCATCTAGTTTATTCCCTAGAAAATCAACTATTTGGAATCCGCTTCATTTATCTTGTTTTCCTGATTCATAAAATTTGTAATTTTTTAATTTGCAATATTTTAAGTTGTCTGTTATATTGCAATATGTAATATTGCAATAAGTAATTTTTATTTAAAAGAAATGTAATTTATGTTTTTGAACATTAATTACATATCTTTCATCTTGAGGTAGATATAATAAGGAAGTTTGCTCCGTATATTATGAGCTCTTAAATAAAAATATTTCAGCCAATAATGTTGAATCTGTTATTACAACTGTACAACAAAAAATAATTTCATGTGGCGCTTTTCCAAAAAAAAAAAAAACGTTTGCTGTTGAATTTTTTAGTGAAATGAACCTTTTATCAAAAGCTCAAGTTAGAGAGGCTATGTTGAATAGTACAAACAATGTTCTTCATACTGATGGTACTAAGTACAATTTTAATGAGGTTGGTAGTTTTCAAGTCACAGCATCATCTGGTAGCTACACGAGGAACAATCTTATTTTGCTGAGCTAAAATACTTACTCACTGATATGGCTCATTTACTTTCTCCTGAATAGGACAACTACGAAGATGATCTTAGAAAGCTCATTTTTTCTTTCAAATCTTTGATGACAAATTGCACTGTTGTTAATTTAAGTTATTTTAACCAATTTAAACATTAGAGAGAAGCAATTTTGCATTTCATTGTAGAAAACTATGATAGACTTCCTTTAAATGAATAATTAGAAATTTCACATATGTATCATATTTTTTGTGGTTTACATGTTGTCCACAATTTAGGGGTATACACTGAAAAAGCAATCATAGAATGGGAAAAAGTGGTTTAGCAGGAAGGTGGTATTTTTGGTGGTTTTACAAATTCCCAAAACTCGTGCACCTTTGAAATTTATACGAACTTTCAAAACTTACAAGCTAAAAAAGGTTTTTAAAAAATTATATGGTTTCATTTCTGCATCATCGATTTAACATTATATTTGTACTTGGTGGGGTAACCTTTTTTTATAAAGATCATCTTAAAGAATTTGTTTTTAATGGTTCAAATTTCCTTCATAAGTCAATTAAGCAAGACATTAACAACATCATTTTGCACGCTTCAACTAGAGCTCTAGGAATTTTTAATAAACTTATTTCAGAACCTCTTTTTCATATTATTGAAGTGGGCCGTATTTATTCTTTGAATACCATTTGGTTTCAAATGTTTAATTATTTTTTTAGTCGCTCTTCTGATGCATCAACAAAATTGCTAAAGATGAAGTGTTTCATCATTTATTTTCTGATGCTTTAACACAAGAATGTCTTGAGGATATCTGTTACTCATGTTTGGTTATGATCCAGTGTCAGTTAAAAGATCAATTGTCTGGAGGAAAAATTTCAATCTGGATGTTGATGCTCTTGAAAAAACTGAAAACTGCCCTCGTACTAACATTGTGTTTGAACGTGACTTTGCTTCCTTTGACTGCAGGTTTAAAATGAAACCTAACATGACAACAGTAGCTGCAGCTGGTGTCATGTTTAACAACAACAAAACAGCTGATTGGTTAGATGGAAAATCACAGAAAGAAATTGAAAGGCTAGTTATACAAGCAAGGCAAAATCGAAAAGGGTATACAAGAAAGTAAAAAAAATATTACTATCTTAGCTGTATAAACGCTAGCATTATCTTGCTGAAAAGCAAAATTTTCACTACTTATTACAGATGCTTGAGGTCTTAAAAATTCTTGAACAATTAAAAGATAATCCTTAGCCTTCATTTTACCGTCAATAAAATGAATTTTTGATTTACCATGATACCCAATTGCACACCAAATCATTATATCACCACCACCTATGTATATATGTATGTATGTACAGCGGTGTGAAAAGTATTAGCATCATCTACTATTTTTAATGATTTTCAGTTTAAAGAGAAGAAAAAAAAGCAAATATATTGTAGAACAAAATTGATGAGATGGATAAGCATAACCTAGAAAAGGAATTAAAGGAACAAAAGGAAGCGAAGAGAAAAAGTTTTTGACAATAAAAATTGGAAAGGATGGTGGTTTAATTTTGTGTAAAGAGGATTTGGAAAAAATGTTAGGTAGTGAAAATTAAATTTAAATGAATTGCAAAGACAAATTAAATTTTGAAAAAAAGTACTACAGCAGAAATTATCAGAAAAGTGGTTACAATTAGGAGAAAAAGGAAAAGGTAAAAAATATAAAAAATTTGGTATAGAGGCATAAAAAACCAACCTCCTATCAATTTTTAAATTTTTAAAGATGATCCAGAACAACGAGCATTTACAATAAAATCTTCAATGATCAGACAAAATGAAAAAAAGAAGAGAGATGTTGCTAACATAAAAAAAAAAGTTTAGATTAAAGGGTGATGATAGGTTATTAATGGAAAATAAGAACAGGCACATCAAAGGGAGGGACTCAAAAGTTTTAATAGTTTAATAGTTAATAATTTAATAGTTTTAGGTACTGAAAATGTAATGTTGCTTCTCTTTCTCTTTTCTACAAACACAATAATAGGTGCTGTTCTAAAGGGCAAGCAACTCTTGTGCCATCTACAAAAATTAATTCTGATATTACTCATCATTCAATTAAGTTTCCTCCTTTTACTGCGACTGTTCCTAAGTGCTCCAAAAATTCTTATTTGTGTAATATTTTTTGTCTTGATAAGAAGCCAACACTCTCTGATTGCTAGGAGGGGGCATTAAAGAAAAGAATCTCACTTCTACTACAGTCATATATATATATTATTATATATAAAATAATGCATATTGTATTAATATATTATATAAAAATAATATATTATAATAAATATAAATAATAAATATTAAATAATACTATAATATAATAAATATAAATAATAAATATTAAATATTAAAAATAATAAACATTAAATAATAAATTTGGTTAGCGCTTTGACGCTATACTGATTTAGGGGTAGGCGAGGGCTTCAATACAACACGTCGACTGACTTAGGGAAAACTCGCAAGGGAGTTGGTAACACATCGAAGGGTCAGGGTTAGGGCAGGAATCAATTTATTTTCATCATTCTTCCTTTTCCCTCTTTTTTTTCATTAAAAACTAATATCGGTACTGCCCTGCACCTAAATTTAAAACTCGCTTTTAAAATTTAATAATTGATTTAAAAATTATTTTTTAATAACTATGATACCTTACATAACGCAACTTTACATAATACGCTCACCACCGTTGATTTTTTTAAGTAAAAAATATATAATTATTTTACGCCGCTTAACTGCAGATTTACCAAAAAAATATTAATATTTAGAGGTAACTCTAAATATTGTGCTTCAAACTTTATAAGAGCTTCAAACTTTATAAAATATGTCGATTTATGGCAATATGTCAGAATATCAGGTTTTGTGCAAATAAACAAACAAACAAACATTAAACAAACAATATTGTTTAGGTTATTCATAGTGTCAATGCCAACTTTCAATTAGTCCAATGCTGACTGTCCTGCCAAAGTCTGTTTCTTGCTGTCTGGATATGATCTACAATGGTCTTCAACAGTCTGCAACAGGAACTGGAGCAGAGATTCGTCACAAGTTATTATTCCACTAAACTCCTGGATCAGTACAACGCCTTGTTCAGCACGGTCATTAACACATCATTGGATTAACAGCAAGATATCCGTGTTGAAGCTCGATTAGTTTAAACAGAGGTCTTGACTTCACTGTGAAAAAATCTTCTAGATTCTTGTTGTTGAAAGATTGAAGTGTAACGCTAATCTGTTTGGTAAGACCATGGTCTTCATCTACCACATTTTGCATGACGCTGACTATAAGCCTTTTTGTTGAAGGACTAACTTTACTGCCAAAGAAAGCCAAAGCAGTAATCCATTCTCTTATGCAAACTTGTACAACAAACATAGAGACAACACTTATCCCCCTTTCTTCTTTTGGAGTCAGTTGAAACTGGGATCGAAACATCCATATCTTTAAGCAATAGATGACCTTTGACATCCAGCGAGCATAGCGCTAGGTGATATAAATTGCACTCCTCTGGTAGGAACTGCACCAAGAAAGATGACTACTGATTCTAAGAACTCCTTGTAATCGTTTCTTGGCTGACTTTGCTTAAGATTCTGTATGGAAAAGTCAATGGTGCTTTGCTTAACATCATTTACAAGACACTGTACATCAACATTTGAAATTTTTGTTTCATATTTGTCACTGTCAATAAATCCCAGTACTCCTGAAAGCGTTTAAACATTAAAACCACTGGAGAAGATGTTGATCCCATACACACTTGGAACGTGGCACCAATGATAAGTTCCATAATGTGATGTATATACGCCAGTGACAAAAGCTCCTTGCCAAGTTTTTGCTTCAGAAGGATGCATGCACCAGCAATTCAACCAGTGTTGGAGCTAGTGGTGTCAAAACACATAGCACAAATGCTGTCAGCTAGTGCTTTACCTGTTGCAGATGGAAGCTTTGCAACTGTGAGCAGTTGAGATGTGTTTTCAAGAAATAAGTACTGGGAGACGATCAACTTTCTTTTTTCAAGTCAGTAATTAATTTGCCATTCCAATGAATAACAAGAGGAGCACTGCCATAAAACCCTTCTTTCAACTATTCTGATCTTTTGGTTCGATGCACCATTCTTTGTCGCCATATTGAGTCTCAATTTAAAGCAAGATTATTAATACTTTGGCCTAAGCTCCTTTCAGTAATAAAAAATGATGTCTTTTGATCTGGCATCCTAGTTCTGTCTAGAGCTGCAGCTAACTCTGGTATCACAACATTTTTTCAACCCTTTTTTTTATTTTATAGGAGCCTTAAATGTGCTGGCTCCAGCAGCACACTCCTTGGCTGCTGAGATTTCACTGTCAAATGATACAAGTTCATCTATTACATTACTGTTATGTATTTTATTGTCCATTCGGCGACATTGATTTAGTATCTATTTCTGTCTTTTCACCGCATCTTTTTTCCTTTACAGTCAGTATTGTATCCTCTCCAGCCATCAATCCACCTCTTCCTTTTTCATGCTGAGCTGCTAAGAAGTCCTTGTCTTCTTGAAATATCATTATTTCCAAAACACTGGAATGAAAAACATCAAATAGATAATCAAGTCTGGAGATAAAGGCATTTTCTCTTGTCTGCTGTGTTGCTGATTTTCTTCCTTTATTTTTTGTGAGCAGACGGTATTCTTCAAATATTAGTTCTAGCTTAGTTTGACAATTTTGAGGATCTTTTATCGGAACTCTTGCCTTCTGCAAAAATCAAACTATCTCTATGACTGCAGCAGCTGAGGACCGTTGTACAGATTTTTAAAGCTCAAGATGATGACGTCAAAAGAAGCCAAGAACTATGTGCAATGATGGCAGCTTTCCACCAGCTAATACAGGTACTAATGCTCCAAGGAGATAAACTTGCTTTTGAAATCTCATTGTGGATGCCATGAGAAAATGTAGAATATGAATCTGCAGACAGATACAAAATAAATAATACTCAATTTACTAATAACTTTTATAATTTAAGAATTCTTGAATTTACTACAATAGTTGTTTCTAATAGTTGGTGAATATAACCTATAAGCTGATAAGTGATTTTTCAACAAAAATTTCACAGTCTCAGCTCACACCTTAATGTAATGTAACAGTAATGCAATATACAATGGCTGTAGTTTATGGCATAACACTAGAAACTTCAACATCATTAAGCAACCTCCAAATATTATTCAAATGCACTAATTTTTTACTGAATTCTTATTTTACATACAGGAACACCATGAGAGGGTAAGAAGATCACATTTTTGAAGTTGAAAAGTAAGCTCTACCCTAGTCAGCACTGCTCCAGAGGTCCAACAGAACACAAACTAACACATAACATACAGGCACATCAACACAAACATACATATAATTACTTACAGGTGGGTCAACACCACTCCAGAGGTCCAACAGAACACAAACAAACACAAAACATACAAGTAGCCATACCAGACGGTTTTTTTTATTATTCAAGTATTCAAATATAATTGATGTCATTGTATAGAGCTTGGCTTGACTTAAAAAAATGAGGGGTCATTCAGCCTTTGAAGTTAAGCAGATCAAAAGTTATTGAACTTTTTGTAGTGGAAAAATTGATGATTTTTTGACAAAAGGTATAGGACTTAAGTATGGAAAATTTGCTGTGTTAAGGCACCCAAAATGAGAGTATTATTGACTTAAAAACAACTTTTGAACCATTAATACATTTGATTCCACTGTGACCCACCAACTATAAAAAAATAAAATTCCAAAAAAAAATTTTTTTAAATCTGTCTGGAATAACCAGAATTATCTATTTTACTGACTGAGGGTTTTTACTAATTTATATATTTTTGGGGTCATAATGACTTTTTAATAACTTTTAAACCTTTAATACATTTGACTTGAAATTTTCCATAGTGATCCACCAATTATAATTGGTGGATCACTATGGAAAATTTCAAGTCAAATGTATTAATGGTTCAAAAGTTATATAAAAGTCATTATGACCCCAAAAATATATAAATTAGTATAATTATGCATATAAATGCATGGTATAATTATAACATGACTCCAAATTCTATTCTCTAATATTAGGAAAATAATTTTGGAGAATAAAATTTGGAGTCATGTTATAATTTTGGTTTTTTATCTTCTTATAGTTGTTTAATCACTATGAAAAATTTTAAGTCAAATATAATAACAATTCAAAAAATAATTAGAAAGTCAGTATGACCCCAAAAATATATAAATAAGTAAAAACTCTCAGTCTGTAAAATAGATGATTCTGGACAATCCCGATAGATTTTTTTTTAAAAAATTTAAAACTTTTTTTCTAATAATTATTAGATGATTCTGGACAATCCCGATAGATTTTTTTTTAAAAAATTTAAAACTTTTTTTTCTAATAATTATAAGAAAAAAAAGTTTTAAATTTTTTTAAAAAAATCTATCGGGATTGGAATAGATGATTCTGGACAATCCCGATAGATTTTTTTAAAAAAATTTAAAACTTTTTTTTCTAATAATTATTAGATGATTCTGGACAATCCTGATAGATTTTTTTTTTAAAAATTTAAAACTTTTTTTTCTAATGAGAGTTTTTACTTATTTATATATTTTTGGGGTCATACTGACTTTCTAATTATTTTTTGAATTGTTATTATATTTGACTTAAAATTTTTCATAGTGATTAAACAACTATAAGAAGATAAAAAACCAAAATTATAACATGACTCCAAATTTTATTCTCCAAAATTATTTTCCTAATATTAGAGAATAGAATTTGGAGTCATGTTATAACTATACCATGCAAATATACTTAAAGGAATCATGGAATCCGAAAAATACATTGTTTAAAAACTATTGCATAATTTACAGACCGGTCAGTGAAATAATCGCATAAATTACAGATCAATCTGTATATTGCTGAAAATGGGCAGTTCAAACAAATGGAACATATCATCTTTAAATAGTTTTTTTTTTTTTTTTTAAATTTTTTTATATTTTTTCATATTTTTGAACCGTTATTACATTTGACTTGAAATTTTAAATAGTGATCCAGTTTATATTAAATCTGTCAGGATTATCCAGAATCGTTTATTTTACAGACTGAAGGGTTTTCTACTTATTTAATTGTGCTATGAGGAAA